ACTCAAAAAAAAAAGTTCCTATTAAACTTAAAAAACCATCAACAAAACAAAATGTATTTATTTTTATTGAGTTTTTGTTTTATTTTAACAAACAGAACAACAAAGAACGTCCCAGACAGCCGTACAACCCGTCAAACAGGAAGAAGTGTAAATAAATAATACAAAAACAAGGATAATGAGAAGTTTTGACAACACGTGAGTCAGATTATTAAAAAAAATAAATTAAGAAGAAATTAGTAAATGCGTGAAAAAGGAATAAAATAAATAAAAATACATAAATACATTTTTAAAAATTGGGATTATTATTTAGATTTATATTCTCTCTGTCTGTATTTATATATATAAACATGACTACATCTATTTTGATGTTTCCTGCTTACTTTCAGCATCAGACTGAATTTGAATAAGTTGTTTTTTTTTCAACATATTTTTGTCAAAAAACTTCTGACTTTCTTGGGATTGTGTTGCTCTTTGCTGTCTTTAATAAGACCACCGATGCCGCGGATCGCTGAGAACTTCTGACCTTTCGCTGGCAAACAAACAGAGCTGCGTCACATGTAATCGAGCGGAGGCATTAAGAGGAAATGTAACAGGAAGAAATGAATAATTTGTGGCGCTGAGCTCGTTTATACTCAGCGAGAGTCTCTGGCAAACTGCGTTAAGAGCATCTGAGTCCACCCGAGAGCCCGAAGACGAATGTCTGGCCGTCCGAGCCTGACAGCAGCAGGACCTTCTAGAATAAAACAACCCGGAAATTGTGTTTAATCGCCGCCTGGGCTTGAACTTCTCCCCACAGAAAATGGAAAGAGGGAGGACAGGCGAAGGAGATTTTGGTATGAAGGCTGGTGGTTAAACAACATTAACAGGCGACACCCAGGCCAAGCCGGGCTGAACCGTGCCACAAAAAACACCAGAAATGGGGATAAAAGCGCAAAAAGAAGCATCTGACAGATAGTATTTTATTCCATGAGTTCAGATGAGACGTCTTCCTCTGTAATTGCTGCTTTGCATTGTGCTGCTGTGAATGAGCTGTGATTGCTGAATCACGTCCAGCCGCCTTCATAACAAAACGCTTCCAATGAGCCCTAATGAGAGCAAAGCGACGGGGGAAGCTGTCCTCCACAACCTTGTCTCTGGGAAAGACAAATAATTGGTGAAAAGTTACCGAATGTCAATGTTACGTGTTTTATGGTTAAACTCGGTTCTCGTTTCAGGTCGGGGAAGACGTGCCGGATGCCAGGAAATGCGCCTGTGCGAGTCACGTCGCCACCATCGCAGACTTCTTCCAGGTCAGAGCCACACTTTTATATATTGCTAAATAAAACCCAGAACAACAAGCAGCAGTTCTAGTTCTGTACTTTAAGAGAACCATATAAACATATCCCCCCCTATTAAAGCCTGAGGTAAATGACTTTTTGGACTTGATGTGTCACATGACTACATGTCACATCATTTTCACTGACAGTATATCTTAAAAGAGATGCAAAATTTCCACAAACAGACAAAATTGCCACAAAGAGACACAAAGTGATCAGACTTAGGTGCAGAATCATCGCAAAAAGGCTCAGAACATCCACAAAGAAACAAACCTACCAAAACCAGATGTCACATTGCCACAAAGACCCAAAACCACCAGAAAAAGACACCAAATAACCACAAAAAAACACAAAATACCCACAAAGACACACAAACCACCACCAAGAAACACAAAACTACGGGAAAAAAAACACGCAAAACCACCATAAACTGATCAAGGTTGATGAAAAATGGTCACAAAGTCACCAAAATCAGACAACCTACACACAACAAAACCAAAATCAACACAAAAAGCGCAACGACAATCATAAAGAGGACCTAAGCAACCACAGTGAGATACAAAACCGTCACACAGATGCAGAGCTACGAGAATTTGACATAAAACCACCACAAAGATTCACCAAATCAGATGCCAAATTGTCACAAAGGGACAACAAAAGCACCTTGAAGAGAATCACAACCACCAGAAAAATACACAAAACCCCAACAAAGAGATGCAAAATAACCACAGAGACAC